GTCAATGGTAAGTTGATTCTGAGAAATAACTATTGATGAGAGTTTGAGATTGATTTTGATTAGGTGATTGGTATTATGGGAATTGAAATGACTGGCGGTGTTTATTGTCCATTATCACCTCGAGATCCACAATACCGTTTGTATGCACTCACACAACGAGCACAAAGTCGTCTGGTTCTTGTTCATCATTTAACGAAGACCAAATTCAAAGATGATATTGTTTCACTTGATATTGATTCAATATTAAATATTAATAATATAGATAATGACATGAGTTATAATTGCATTTCAAGTGTAAAAGTGAGAGGCGAAGAGATAGCTTACATTATTTTCACAAGTGGTTCAACTGGAACACCCAAAGCGGTTTGTTGACATTCACTTTTCTAATCTGTGATTGATTTTCATGTTCTTTCATAGGTTCAAGTTCGACATAAGAACTTCATTGATTGTATGCATTCTTTGGTTTATATTAACTCATTTAATGAAGATGATACAGTTGTACAAATGACACGATGTTCATTTGACATTCATGTTCAAGAAATACTTGGTACATTGTTAGTTGGAGGCACTTTGATTATGCTTCATCCAAATGGAACGATTGATTTTGATTATTTATCTAAAGTCTTAGAGAATAAACAAATCACATATCTACATACTGTCCCAAGTTTATTACATAGTTTTCTTACCTCTGTCGAGCAAAATAACAATCCGAGTGTCTTGAAACATCTTCGATCACTTTGCAGCAGTGGTAAGTGACTTTCAAGCAAAGTTCTTTCGCCTATCTAGTGTATATTTATTATTACAGGTGAACCTTTTTCTGTTCCTTTAATTGATTTGATTGTCAAAATCGGTATAACAAACTGTGTTGTGTGGAATTTGTATGGTCCAGCTGAAACAACCATAGATTGTACATTTCATCGTGTAAATGTCACAAATAGTAAAGAAAGCATTCCAATTGGTATACCACTTTCGAATTACCGATGTATGATTATCAATCAATATCTGCAATCATCTGTTACTTATCAAGAAGGTGAACTGTTTGTGGGAGGAGTGGGTGTATTTGTTGGTTATCTTGGACGTGATGATTTAACTGCAAAAGCTCTTATTGAAATAGATGGTCAACTATTTTATCGAACAGGTGATCTTGTCCGAATCGATAACAATTGCCTTCTTCATTATCAAGGAAGAAAAGATCATCAAATCAAATTACGTGGACAACGAATTGAACTTGGTGAAATCGAACGATGTCTACTTAACATTACATCTATTTCTGCTTGTGTTGTCATGAAGTGGAATGATGATTATTTAGTTGCATATGTTCAAAGTTCCGATTTTAATGAAGAAGAACTACGTCAACATTGTCAATCTCATCTTCCATCACATATGATTCCATCTTACTTTATTATACTTGAGAAATTACCTTTGAATCCAAATGGGAAAATAGATCGAAAACAACTTCCATCACCCAATTTTTCTTTATTAACTTTCTCATCATCCGATAAATCTGATACTACTTTTAATCAGTTTGAAGATCGTATACATACTATCTGGTGTCAAGTTCTTCATTGTAATGAAAATCACATTTCTGGAACTGCCAGTTTTTTTAGTGCTGGTGGTCATTCACTTCGATTCATTGAGCTTTATTATCGTTACCAGTCATTATTTAACTTTGATACTCAGTCACTCTCGATTGGCCTCTTTCTTCTGCAACCAACTATTCGACAACATGCACAATTACTTCAAACAATTCCATTCAATGATACGCAGACAACGCAATCGCACACACTACATATCAATCAAGGTAAAACATCTTTAAATCAAGAAACGTGCATCCGATATATAAACCCACTGATTTTTCTTGTAGACATTATTTCTTTTCCTCAGGAGGCCATCTTTCTCGATGAACAAGCTCAAATTTCACATGAAATTGCTACTTATTCGAATTTTTTCCAGCATCCGTTTGTTGTGATCAATGAAAGTTGCGATAATATTTTGTTCATTTTGCCGCCTGGCGAGGGGGGTGCCGAAAGCTATTTCAACAACATTGTGCCTCATTTATCGCAATATAAACTGGTAATGTTTAACAACTACTATCTTGATCTTAAAGCAAAAAATATGGAAAAAGGCGTCTCGTTCGAGACATTAGCTCCTGTATACATAAAGTATATAAAAGAAATCCAACATGATGGTCAATATAACTTTCTAGGCTGGAGTTTTGGTGGCATTTTATCGTTTGAAGTTTCTCGCCAATTGAGTAATGCTGGCGAGAAAGTTGATAATATTTTTATGATCGACTCATGCTTTAATGTAAGCAAGGCTTCTTTTGAAACTGGCATAATAGTTAAAGTGGATATTCCAGATTTCATAAACTATTATGTACCGATGATAGACAACGAACCATTTGGATTAAGTATAGCTAACAGAAATACAAACATTATATTATTTAAAGCTAACAAGATGGATGAAAGCGTTACATTGAACGATCAGTTAGAATTATCTTCATACTACGCCAATACTTCATTTAATAATCTTGACACACTAGTGAATCATGAATATATCCAGTTATTTCAAATGTATGGCGATAGCCATTCCTCTTGGACATTTAATGAAAAGCAAATTCTCAACATGTGCAACCATATAGCGAGTTTATTAAAATAAATAACAAAGCGCATAAATACGGTAATTTAGTAATCAATTAACTTTCAAAAAACGAAAGAAAATTTTCACTTTATTTTAGTTTTATTTGCTATTAAATGTATTATTTTGAAATCATCAATATATACGTTTCTTGGACAGACAATAATCATTTTAGTTTGATTCTTCTAATTTATCTTATTTCTTGTTAGTTATTTTTAATTCTCACTTAAATCTAATAAATATCGGTATTATCATTTGTGAAACATCATAAACAAGATTAACCCTCAAGCGCCCACCTGGGGTCCACGCGGACCCCAACTAGTTTCATTCTAATGTTTTACATATACGATCGCAGATCATATCACACCACTCTAGATATGCTCTAGTGCAGAGTAGTAGAGTATACCATAGAAAGCATTCGCTTATCTCCTTTAGTCTTCTATAAGATAAATTACCTTAAAGTACATATATACGCATTTTGCCAACCTGGGGTCCAACCGGACCCCATGATATAACATTAGTTTCTGCTTATTATTTGATTATAAATTTTTCGTTTTCATAGTTTATACATTTGTCCGCACATATGAAAGTATTCGGTAGCTATCCAATAAATTGTAAAGCATGTCAATGACTTTCTTTTTCAACATACTTGATGTTGGTACTCTTGCTACTTTTGTGGTATGGGCAATCAAAAACTCTCAATGGAATGAAAAGAAAAACTATCGTCGACGTCTATTTCTAATGGAATTAGGTCATGATCTTGTTCAATCGCATTTGGATCGATGACGATATCAACCGCAGGCACTTCAAAAGAACGTTCGAATAGCTATGCAAGCAATTGGACTAACAATAACTACTTCACAACCAACTATTGGTTCAACAGCTACTGTCAAGCAACGTTGTCATCTTTGTCCAAGAGAGCGTGATCGAAAGGTTATTAGTCACTGTTCAAGTTGCAATGCTCCCTGTTGTCTAGATCATCACATAGTTGTTTGCACGATTTGTAGTGAAACATTTTTAGGTTAAAAACGGATTATAAGAAAATGTTTTAAAAATAAAAGATAAAATAACGAAATATAGTTTCCATTCATAAGCTACTAAGTCTGTAAGAGGCAAATTATATACCACATAATGCTATCATAGTATACTAGTTAAAACGCGTATTATATCTATCTTATTAGCTTGCGGTCCATGCGGACCCCAGGTGGGTAATAAGTGATAGTCCTACAGGTGGGTGCTTGAGGGTTAAATAAAAACAAATGAAATACTTGCACTGTGTCACTTAATATGAAAGAACTACTGTTCACTCTGATTTTAACGTATTCATAGTATCGTTACCTTTCTTATTACTGTTAAATTTTAGGGTGTGGGTGAAGAGAAGAATATCATCTACACCCAAAACCACACCTACACTCACACCACACCCTCACAACACACTCATCAGTACGTTCTATCAAAAGCACTCATTATCGCTTACCATTTGATCGAAAGAAGCTATTAATTTATCCAGAAAACCTTGAGGGCGTGGGTGTATTTATAAAGTTGATGAGATTCAAAGCATCATACGGCGCGTTTCGGCGGTTGCTTAGGCTGTCAATCATCAGGTATGTTTTGGATCTATAACTACATTGATTAGTAATAATGATTCTGTGCCATAGTTGATGCTTATTTTAACATTTGAAATTGAAAATGATCCTAAGCATTATAGATACTTAAAATCAGTAAACAAAATATCAAACAATTGTATGGTACACAGTAATTGTATATTACAGAAAATGTTCGGGTTTTAAAGATCATTCTTTAATTAGATTAACTTTACGTGTAGATGTAAGTTAGATGTGGGTGGGGGTGTGATTGAGGGATAGCAAAAAGGCACTCATACCCACACGCACACCCACCCACACAATATCAGTCTTATCTTCCAACTCATATGATTCCATCACTCTTCATCATTCTCAATAATTTTCCACTCAATGCAAATGGAAAAATTGATCGGAAACGTCTTCCACCACTGAGCTTTTCGACTTCAAGTTCTAATGATAATACTAATTCACCTATTACCAGACTCGAACAACAATTACAAGATATTTTTAGCCAAGTGTTTCATGTTGAATCTACTTCTGTCGAAGCTTCGTTTAATCAACTGGGTGCACTCTAAATAAAATAGGTATTCTTGGAAACTCAATAACAGTTTCCGAGTTTGCTACTATCGAAACTCATTAAGAGTTTTCGAACACCGGTTTCCGAACTATCGAAAATCCATTAAAAACCCGTAGCTATACCATACTCAACCCTCAGTTCGGAAACTTAAAAACGGTGTCCGAATTACTGAAAATCCGTAAATCCAATACGTATAAAATACCAGATATTCAGCTCAGCAACTCAGCAGAGGTTTCTAAGCTGAAAATATTTAGTTTATGTGATGCACCTTGCGAACTGTAGCATCGCACTCACACCTTGGCCTACACATAATATACTACCTATAGCTGATTCTCTTGGTCAAAGATTTGCGAAATTCCACAAGAAGCACTATAATAAACGAAAATAAACTCATAATTACTAATTCAAAATGTATAACTTACCAAATATACGAACATCTTTGAATGAAAATCCAGTTCTAAATAAAAAAGTAAAGGATTAATTCTACTTAATTTCTGATTTATATAACTTACTCAGTGAATGAATATCTCTGAGCAAAAACCAAATCCTAAATAAAAAAGAATAATAATAATTATATTTAATTTCTTAATTATATAACTCATCTATATTATAATATACAAAGTTTCAGTTCAGGAACTTTAATCTGATTGGTCACAGAACGGAAAAAAATATATATACATATACATATATGACTAGACGACGATGACCATCAGTCTACATTGTCCTACTATCCTATACTATTATTATTATCTGCCCATTCATTAGAATAAAATAAGAGAATAAGACAAAATAGAATAATAAAATGAAACAAAAGGAAAGAATAAGACATAATAAAATTAAAAAATCTATACTAAAATTTATAAGTTTTCTTCTGAAACGTTTTTTCTTATTCAGACTTTTTACATGTATGTCACACCTCAGACTTGAACTTAAGCATTCAACTATCGATCTGCAGGAAGGTGACAGTGGGAAGGAGGAGTGAACAGGGGGCATGGGTGAGCGTAGAGCACAGGAAGAATATGAGTAAGGAGAACAGGAGTAACTTAGTAAGCAGGATATCAGTGGCGATGAAGGGAAGAGAAATACAGAAAGAGAATAGTTTAATATTTGAAGTGAACAATTGAATTCAGCTTTCAAGTTTAGCACTACTCATTTTTTATTGAGTCAGTTTTCCTTATAATATGAGATCTTATCTCTTCACAGGGGCCTCTAGTCAAGTATATGAATATCATTGAACGAAAATCGAATTTTAAATAAAAAGCAGTACAATAATTATTTTTAGTTTTTAAATTACATAACTTACTAAGCATATGAATATCTTTGAATGAAAATTTAATTCTAAATAAAAAAAGTAGAATAGGGTGTGGGTGTGGCTGTGGCTGTGAGTGTGTATTGGGATCAGCACGAAACACCCACACCCACACCCTCAAGATTTTCGTTATCACACTCGATAATTCTAATGCGAAGTTGATGTCAAGAAATACATTTTCATGAATTTCAATATTTATACATGTTTGTATTGTTACAATTTGCAGGAGTATCTTTAGTAATTTTGCTACAATGAGAAAGCTGATAATAGGTAGTGGTTCATCTTGATAATTAAACAATGATTTATCAGTGTTCTTTCAACATATGTTATTTTAAATTATCGCAAATGTTGAAAAATTTGTGAAAATTTTAGAATTGTTATTTCGATATCGAGCCTGGCATCGCATTTCACAGATGAGTCTCGACTTGTATGCTATCTAGTTTTTTTCAGCTATATCTACAGTTTTCTATAGTATGAATAAAAATAGTTTATCTTTACAAAGAAATATCTGTATGATTCGAAATATTGATTAGAAATCAATAACTGATTTAATTTTAACAAAAAAATTTAAAACCTTTCGAGATGGAATGGTTTCATCTTCATCCTGTTTCATAGAAGATTGATGCTCTGATATGAGTAATAATTCATTCGAATATTCTATCCAGTTTTACTCCAACATATACTTAATTTGATAAGAACAGTGATACCATTGCAACAAGATGTCATGAATACGAAAAGTATGACAAATAAAATTATAATTTCAATTTTGTGTATATAATAGAAAAAAATAAAGAACGGTAGTTTCAAATCATGATATGAGTCCGAACAAGTCATTTATATTGGAATACAACTGTTTAATCATAAGAATTCTTCTTAAATGAACAACTAATTAGGTTTGTTGTATACGAGATATTAAATGAAGATTGTTTTTTCTAAATCTTAAGTTAATCTTCTACTTTTCCCTAATTCATAGAGGTGAAGTATATTTTCTTCGAAGAATGATATTCTGATAGAAGATGATTTCAACAAAATGAGATTAATCTATTTGTAAATTGAATAAAGAATTTTTACGTTTTAGTCAATGATTTGAAGAATATATATAAACGAACTATGAGTAATAGTTCTTACTTATTGATGAAATTTAAACGATATCTTCTCGTCTAAGATTGTTAATTAAATAGTATGATTGATAATTACAAGTTGCTGTTATCTTAGGATATCAGAACTTGTATGCCAATATTCAATCGTAATAAATAAAAAAATATAATAGTAACATAGTTACCTTTAAGGGAGAAAAAGCGAACTCCTTTACTTTCGAAGTACAGAGAAGTCCACTTTTTTGCCCTTGATTACATTACATACACAGAAAAATGATTCAATAAATTGAGTTTTCGATTAAAACAAATAGTAACACCAAAGTGATTATTTTTAATATTAAAATAATTCTTCTCTTTTCCAGTATATTATCAATAGTATGCATTGTTATTTGAAAAAGAAACCTTTTTATACTATTCATTTGTAATTAGGTTCTATGTTTTGACTTTTTGTAAGTTTATTTTGCTCGTATAAACATCGTTAGTATTTATCGAACGATGTTTATGTAACAAAATAAAGCTTACGATAAATGACACGTAAGAAAGAGTATTTTATGTTATTTTGATAATATCAAATACTTTTTTCGTTTTACTGTTCAAAACAAAATTATTTATGTGAATCAATTCAACAATATTTTACTTACTCTCATTTGATATATTAAAGATATAGATAAGTTGTTTTCTTTATAATTACTAAAATTTCAGAACTAACAACTTTCAAAGTATTTCATTAGTATAATAAATTACTGCTGAGGTAAGATTATCTTCATTATTAGGACTCTAATTAATAATTGAAACATATGAAATAGTAAATGCTTGTGAATATTTTTCTAAAAGAAATAGTGAATTATTCTTAATCATTTACTATATTCTGTTTTTGAAAACAACGAACGAATCATACAGCAACGAAAAAAAAAATGTTTTCGAATACATTTTAAAAATTATAAATATACCGTTATTTTTTTCAAATTATTAGGTACTGGTGTCCTTGAAATTAGTTTTTACGTATTACAAAAAAAACTTCTTTCTTTTCAATCATGTCCATATTATATGTCATATATCATTAGTGAAATAAATTATGGTAAGAACAGATTTTTCTTGTAAGGTAAAAACTTGTAGAACTGATGTCACACCCACTATCATTTAAGAATAAGCGTCATCAAAAAGTATAGTTTTACTTCATATCATTTTTGATTGTATCTCAAGGAGAGAAAAAAGTAGAAGAGAACGAATAAAATGATATGAGTAATACTACTTATTCACATAAATGTAAGGTAACTACCTGTATCTCTAACATCTTTGTCTGTCCTGTTCTGTTTCATGTGTCACGTTTGACTTCCGTTTTGACAGTACATGTTATTATATGACCATAAAAATACAAACATGTATTGCTAATAGCCGTTTCGAATAGAATACATAGTCAAAACGAACAAAAAATCATACGAAACACAAACATGTTCGCATCACAGTATGCACCACGAAGAAGTCCACCAGCTGTAACAGATCAATATCATCACAGAGAAAGTATATGGAGAGTTTTACTTGATATACTTTGTCTTTTAATATGTAAGTTTATTTTTCGATCTCGTTTTAATTAAAAAATTTTGAATTTCTCATTTAGTACTTATTATAACACTTATTACGCACTTTGTTGCAAAACCCTTTACACGTGGATTTTCTTGTTCGGATACAACAATCCGATATCCATTAAGGGATGATACAATTCCTGTTTATGCTGCTGTTTTACTATCTATTGGACTTCCACTCGCTATTGTAAGATAATATATCTATGAATACTTAGAATAAAATAGTTTTCATATATCTATGCTTATTAGATGTGGTTTACAGAAGTTTTTAAACGATTCTATTATTCATTATATCCAAGACAACGATTTATAACACGTTTAGATTTTTGTGGTATACGATCAGTAGATATATCACCAATCGTTGGAAATTTATATATGCTTACTGGTAAAAAAACTCATACATATATGCATGCTTCTAATGAATATATATTTGTATTTATTGATTTCAGTTACATTCGCGTATGGTTACCTTGCAACTTGGGTTTTAACTGAAATTACAAAGAATTTTGTTGGTGAATTAAGACCAGATTTTATAGCTATATGTCGACCTAGTTACAATTGTTCAACAGTTACATCATTATATCAATATGATACATATCTTCAAGATACAGTTGATTATACATGTCAAAATACGGATACATCGGCTGTACGAGAAGCACGGTAATCACATAATTATTATAAGACAGGGTAGACAAACATTTGAATGATTTTTACAAAATTAAAATATGATATAATATTGACTTTCGTTTTTATTGTAAGAAAAGATGCCTTCGTGGTAATCAATTTAATTTTTTATTATACAAAATGTAAACTAAAAATTATTTTTCTTGAAAAATATTGATTATTATTGAATAAAAATGAAAAAATTTTCTTTGTTAATTTAGTCGGTCGTTCTTCAGTGGACATACTTCACCAGTATTTTGTAAGATTGTTTATTTTAATTTTCTTCAAACTTTATTTTTATCTATACTAGATGGTTTCAGTTTTTTGATTATGTATATTCATGTGGCATGGTCATGGCGTCATCTGGGTATCATTGGTCATTTATTTCAAGTTGGTCTTGCTATACTTGCTTGTTATATCGGTAATGATAAATAAATTTTCTTTTGTAATCCTATATATGAATTATTACTTATAATAGGTTACACTCGTATTAGTGATTATCGTCATCATTGGTGGGATGTATTAGTTGGTGCTATTGTTGGTTCTTTAGTTGCCTTTGTTACATTTAAATTTATTCTCAATTGGCGTCATTATGTTCCACGATTTCTACCTCATACGGTAGAACCTCAGACAGTTGCATCACCACAGTCTCCAAGAGGATATGGTAACTATCGTCCTCTAGGACCATATGGTGAACCTGGACCAATTCGTCGCTATTAATCAAATAAACATTTATCTATTTATAATAGCTATGTTCTAATTGCAAACAAAAAAAATCACACGTTTTTTCGTCCTCCTACACACTATTACTCCGCTGATTGATTTGATCTTTGTTCACGATCAGAAACCTATACGTTTATCATTCAATTTTTTGCATGTACACTAATAAAAAAAATCATTTTATTTTACAAACTTATAGATTGATATCATAAATAACTTAAAGTATCTTTCTTTTCAATGAATAATACTTCAATATGCCACCATGAGCGTACATGTCAACAACATGCACTCGATGACTCAGCGATAACAGGCCGACGGATGCGAACACGTTCGAGAGAAATAGGAAGGTAGTTTTTTTTCTTCTCTTCTTTTCTATGCAATAAAATATCATGAGCAAATATATATGAGAGCATATTCATCCATTTGTGTGCATATAGAAGAAAGATGAGTAGCGTTAACAATAAAAAAGATGCATCCTCTGTTTCATATGAAACAATGGATGTAACAGCTGCTGATGTTCGAAGGTACTTTGTTTCGAAAATATAATTAAATCATTAAAAACATATGTAACCATATTTATATGTTTTTATCTATTTCAGTCGTCAATCTATCGTCCAACCAGTTTCAATATTAAAATTAATTTTCGATGGATTTTCAATTATTCTTGGTTTATTTATTTTTATTTAGTTATTCTTATTTTTTTATTTCTTGTATATAGTACTTTCAACATGGTTAATATTTAAATATATTGTAAGACCTGTTCGACGACCATTTCTATGTTCGGATTTAAATTTATATCATCCAAAACCACCACAAAATGTCATTCCATCATGGCTTCTATTTCTATGTGGAGTTATTGTACCAATAATTGTTGTAAGTGTTAATTAATATCGAATAAAATTTATTTATTTTCGTATGTCTTTAGATACTTTTGTCTGAAGGTGTTCGTTGGTTTTATTTACTTCGTAAAAAAGCAGCACGTGTTGTTTATAAACTTCAAATTCGTTCGACTATTTACAATATTCCAGAATGGGCTGGAAATCTTTATATTATTATTGGTACAATATTTTAAAAAATAAATTCATTCGAATTTTTTTATGTAATAGGAATCTTTGTTTTTGCTTCTGCTGCTAATTCATTTTTAACAAATGTTGGCAAAGTTGCAGTTGGTCGTCATCGTCCACATTTTATACCATCATGTTTTAATCAAACTTCCTATCAACCTTTTTGTGTTGATCCTAATGCATGGATTGTTAATTATACATGTATTGGAGAATCAAGTACAGTTATTGTAGAAAAAGATGGCGCTTTTGATATACGGTAAAATATTTTTTCTTGAAATTTAATTAGGATATATAAATGTATTCAAAAAAAGTAGAGAAGATCTTTTTCTGTATAAAGAAATGAACTTTATGATCTTGTTTTTTTTCGAGAGATAAAGCATTTTCTCTAAACTATAAATAGAAACATGTCTGAATGTGAATAAAATATCTTGAAAATATACATTAGTCTGTAGCTAATATTTAATAGTTAATTAAGACATTAATTGAAGACGTGAGTATGTTCAAGTTGTAGTAAGAGTAAAATAACTAACGTTTAACTATTTGACGAGGAGCATTGTATATATTCTGTTCTGAGTATTTCTCTGCCATATAGTATATGCGATTGCTAACGGCTGCATCTGTCTCCAAAGGATTAAAACGAAACTTCGAATGTTAATGTCTTCATATTTGTGTTATCAAACTTTTTTTGTCTTTGAGATAAAATACTATTCTTTTTCATTTCTATGATAGTAATTGAGAAAATTGTATTTGTAGGCAATCATTTCCATCGGGTCATTCATCAACAGCTTTTTGTGGTTTAATCTTTCTAGCTGTAAGTTTTATTTAACTTCTTAACTTATTTTTTCTATTTCATTATTTTTTAGCTTTATATTTATAAAGTTTGGAGATATCGTAATTTCGGACTTCTTCCATATCTCATGGAAATAGGTTGTTTTGCTTTGGCTGCATATATTGGTGAGTTATTATCAGTATAATTATATATAAAACTTGATTTCTTCTATTTTAAGGTATAACACGTATTACTGATCATCGTCATCATCCTACAGATGTTCTTGGTGGAGCTATTTTAGGAACTGTTATTGCTATTATAGCATTTCGTTCTGTGGTTCGATCATTTAAACGATCTGTTTTGTTGGATTTGGAGAATGAAACACAAAGAGGAGGAAGAGATGATTTTTAAGCTCAATAATAATTCATGGTTTATATTATCTTATTGAAATATTTTTATTCGCGCATGTTATAATGGAATGATATCGAATATTTTAGTAATATTTATTCATTGGTGTATAGAAAAATATGTAAATTTTTATGATCAAATTTAGGCGGTGATTGTAGTAGTGAACAAAAGGTTTTATTGGATAAATAAATATATTCCTTTTTTTATGATTAAACAATACGATTTCTAAGATCTAATATAAATGATTTATCATATCATGATAACATTAAAAGGTCTTAATCATTAATCAAACTCTCTTTCATGTAGACGTTTTAGAATTTGAATAGGATTCGAACTTGAACTAGAAAATTTTCTTTTGATTTGACCTTGATTACAAGGAAAAGTCAATTATATCCTATTCATTATAATAAGATCGTCGTTAAGATTATCTGAAGAATATCAATCATTAATATACATTAATGAGAAGAAAAAGGAAATTTATATACTAACGGAGTGATTATCAGATTGAACTACAGACAAACTATCAAGTTTGAATTGCATTCAGTCACTAACACATTTTATATATATAACAATGTCATGACAAGTATGGAGTATGTTTGTTTTTCTATTACGAATTAATATATATATTTTGAAAACTTATTCGAATTTATATCGTTACTATAACCTTGAGATCATTCAAATCATTTACCGTGTCTTTAGAAGTATTAATTCAGATAATTTCTTGAGTAAAGAAACCCAAGGATCAATTTGCATGACAAGTAAGTTATAAAAAAAAGATTTTATGTTCTCATTCTACGATTATTGCAGTTTGTGAAAACCTACAAATGTTCAGCTTTAAAGAAACATACTTATTAGTCTATCATTACTGATATTGCATTAATAAACTCGATAAGATTTTACTATTCTTCTTTCCAATAAATTTCCGATTCAGCTTGATCAGTAGTGCAGTTAATATGCATGTATTAATTGATTATAACTTTTGTGACATATTCTATAAATATCTACGACACAACATTAGTTCAGGAAATTGAAGATAGTTATTAACTACGTTTCTTAGTTACATAATATACAATTTTCAAATAAGAATTTTTCTTTTCTGTTTTAAATTACGCAGATTTTTTTTCTTGTTTAATAAACATCAAAACATTAACATGAAGAATTGTTAATGAAATATATGGCTGCTAGGATTGACTTTTCTTTTCTTTTTGATCATTTAATACTTTTTAAACATTTGTGTCTGTCGAGTTCTACTGAAGCATTAAACTACATTGTATATATGTCTATCTCGGTAAGCATCATCAGATTACTACAGACAACATGTTAAAGAACAGCTGAAATGTTCTCATCAATCAACTATTATCTAAACATTGTTTAGCATCAGTATTCTTTTCTCAGACAAATGTCAACAAAGACTAAATCATTAGTATAAATATAAATAATAATCATCAAATTATTAAATCATTAATACATAATCAAAATTACAAAAATACTTCTATTCTTACTATTCACAATTATTGTCAATAGGCACTTTTTTTTATTTCTAATATAATTATTGTACAAGTACTCTGTTTATTTTCTATTTCAATAGAGACGATAATCATTTTGTTCAACTTCATTTCCTTTTATACGTTAGAAATTCTTTAGATGACTTGTTTTTTGGACAATCAAATCGTCTTGAACAACAGACATATGATAAATTACTTGAAATTGCTTTCATTTATGTATTGGCACTCTCTATCGCTCTTATACTAAACAATCATAGCAATTTTATTCTTATATGTTCGTGCATATAGAACAATTTGATTGTACTTGATTGCTTCATAGAAAGGCAATGCATAAATGAATAAAGTAGACAGTTAGAACAATTATATTAGTTCATGTTGCTTTTACAAATAGTATTACGCGCATATTCTCAATCTAAATGATAATAATAATCTTAACAGTTATTGAAATTTTCTTTTTTTTTTGTACTTAGATTGTCCTCTCATTTATACAAGAGATATTTAATTAATACTCTTTTCTTTTTCTTTTGAATAATGAAGTAACTTGAATATATCTGTTAATAATATATATTGTAGTGAATAAATCTTACATGAAACACTTTACCATTTTTGTTCAAGTGTGCGAACAGAAAACAGATGATTTAATCTTTCTCGTTCTCTCTCTCTCTAGTATTACAACAATGAACACAAACACATTCATTGATCTAAATTGTATATGTAAGTGATAGTTTACTAGATCAAAGAAAAGTATTTTACGATAACGATATAAAGCAAAGAAGAAGAAAAAAAAATTCAACTGCAATACAATTAAAGATTTCTTGACATAATTAAATTAGTAAGTAGAATAAATATATCTTACTGCTTTCATTTTCTTTTATCTAATTTATTTTTTATTTAATTTCCTATATAGGCACTCATCATTTCTATCTGTCTTATTCAGTTTTTTTTATCTGTCATTATTTATTGCGTAAGTGAATGTTTGTCTTTAGTCGCATCACGATTTGTAAGAATAAAAGAATAGAATAGTAGGCTGGCTTTCGGGATTCTTAAATAATGACCTTCACTATCATTGGGTAATACGGATACATGCTGTGAATTTTCTGTCATAGTCTCTTACGTTTTTTATTCTTTGTCTTTGTTTCACAATTGCTTGACAAAACGCGATAGAAGTTTCCTTCTTTTTTTTTTCTCAGTTCTGTATTTGGCATGATCAACAGAAATATACAACCCAGTCGCTCATGCTCTTTCTTCTAGCATTGCAAGTGTCAGCTAAAAGGCTCGATTTTTTTTCTTGTTCTTCTTCTTCTCCTCCTCATTTTTTTCTCTTCTTTTCAAATAAACCACAAAATTTGTAGCCTCTAAGAAAAAAAAACGCATTCTTCGCGTTCTTTCCGCTCTATGCACGTCTATACATTGTCGTTCTCCACTTTTTTTTCTTCTTCTTTTTCTTTTACTATTCTTACTCCTGCTCTTCTTCTTCTTCTTATCATCATCCGTGAATGATGATGACTACTGCACACATTTTCGTGCGTGCTTGTTGTACGCATGTATGTGTCTGTTCGTTTATTGGCATCTACAATATTCACCCGAGCACATCTATTCAAGGAAAAAAACTTGTACCCATTAGGTATGATTTACACTTGTTTATTAGTTATTTTTAAACGAATTTTTTAATATTATATGAGAAACCTTACTATTTAAATATACATTTAAAACTATTATTTGCTTTTTACAATTTAAATTTGATACAATAACAAGTCTGGTGTGTAACAGAGAAGTTAACGATAGGAGAAAAAAAAAGAAAAGTATTATCTATGATTGTTATATTTATTACATATATAAACTATCGATTGAAAAATGATTTCGAGCATTTTTCTTATATGTGAGTAGGATGACGACCGTGACACGTGATGACATGTATATATATATATATGTATACACGTATGTATGCGTAGTGTATCTATTTTAGAGTAAGATTATGTTAATGGGTGTGTGCATGTGCAAACGCGAGGATAAACACACTTGTGATTGTGAGAAGGACATGTATTTAATATATATGATACGATCATTCTGTGATTTTAATGTTTGATTGTAATGTTTTTAGTATTAAGATAAGAAACAAATCAGTTCATCTTTGAATATTTCAAAAAGAAACACCCCATATTCACATGTTTTAAATCTAATTTTTTGCTTTGTGTTATGATGGATTATAATTGAAGATTCACTTTATAATCATAGATTATTTGATTCTTTTCTTTTCTTTTCATAATTCAATTGAATCAAAAAAAAAAGATTACAATGAAACAAAAGAAAAGATCATCTTTTTATAATAGAAAAAAATCTCATAATATCTTTTTCAAGTATTTACACGCATTCATTTTTCAGGGACAAATAAAACCAACTATATTAAAATAAAAGTGCCTTCTATTGTTATACATGTCGTCTTATAATGAGTATATTTATTAATGTACATATGTACATCGTCTTGTCTCTGCTCTCACTATAGACATAGTCATATACAGAAGTCAGCATGATGGACTCACTTTCTCACCACCATAGGAGTATGTTGAGATCGAATATCGACAATAGGTATATATATATATATATATATAAACGTAGACACGCACATATACAGTATTATCAAATGAATCATGACAAGTCTCATAGACGGTAATGAACGCCTAAAGATTTTTTTTTGGAGTAACAGGCAACTATTTTAATACAGATTACCTTGAGTTTTATATAATACAATAAAGAAAAAGAAAAAAATAGAGAGAGAGTTGATTTTATGTAAGAAAAACAATGTAGACAACTCGTAATAGTACATAGATAGAAGAAAAAGATTATAATGGATCATGTCATGTACCATCGTTACTTTTATCTACTTAATATAAATATATATATATATATGCGAAGTCAAAGTTTATCATAGGTTAGATTATTCTTTTTTTTTTCGAATAAAAAATTCTCGTAAGCAAAAAAAATCATATGGAATGAATAAACAATAACAAATTACATCGATATAAATTGTTATCGTTTCCATTACTCTCATTTTATGGATGATATTGGTGATAAATATTAAGGGTGGGTGTGTGTATACATACACATGTATATATGTATACATATACATACATAGTTCGGAGATTGCTGACGGCTAGATAACAGGACATCTTGTTTTTTTTTATTAGGTGCTACCTTTATATTTCACGCCATTAAGTTGCTCATGCATATATATATATAAATACATATTCACCTTTTTCTCATATAGAATCAGACAAAGTAAAGAGAATAAGATATTTATTAATATAAATATCAAATAAATGAAGTAACATTGAGAAAAAAAAAGTACTATTTACTTTTCACGATCATTGTTGAATGAAATTTCCGTTTGATGAACTCTTTTGTTGTATTAACTCTACGGCTATTACATGTTGTACTTATATAATAGTATGTATCTAATGAGATGAAGTTCTATACATTTGAGTGTCATTTTATTAATTAAATCTTCAATAAAACGTGTATTCTAGGAATTAATTCTTTCATTTTTTTTCTTTAGTTAAATGAATAGAACAATGTCAACGATGAAATCAGCCAATTTTTATCATTATCCATCAGATTCGAATGATAATACTATTGATAATCATTCATTATCAATACCATTACTTGCATTAAATGATATATGGATACTTCCAATATTTATTCTTTGTTTATTTGGTATATTATGTACAATAATCATATCATTTATATTCATATATTTATCATATCGTCGTTTGAATGGTCATTTTTTATTAACAAATTTATTTATATGTTTTAGTATATGTTTTATTTATATAATTCTAATCATTTTTTTAATACGTGCTAATGAATTATTTTGTGGTTTAAGAGAATTTTTAATACAATTTGCATATGCATTATTATATTCAGCATTATTATGTCGTTATATAATGCAATGGTTAGGTTCAAGAATATTATCAAAACGAACAAAACAATTAACATCATTATTAATCTATGTCTTATTAATATTCATTCAAATACCTATTGGTATATTATGGTGGTATTTTACAACACCACGTTTTTGTCAACAACGAAGAATGAATATGTTATTATCAACATCAAATATACCTAAATTAGAATTTCAATTTCAAAAATCTCATCTATCACCATCAGTAATAAAACCATGTTCAAATCGTTGTATTGTTGATTATCGTTTTTATGCAACATTTACTTATACAATATTAGAATTAATTTTTTGTACAATTATTTCTACATGTTTATTTTTATGTCGTCATTGTCATAGAAATAGAGTTGAAAAAGATAAAGATGCAACTATATCTATTAATGGTAATAATCCAATATTAACATTTTTAAATATGTTTGCATTTATTTTAATTGATCTTACATGGTTATCATGGACAATTATATATTATTTTACTCATCCATTTTTTGTATTTCCATCAATTCTTATTGGTATGTTTATAATCGCAACAATATGTTTATTATTTATTCTTCTTCCACAAGTATATTATTATTCGAAATTAAAATTTACTGATATAAATACATATAAAACAAAAATGAATGTTCCATCAACAACTTTATATAGTAATAAATTAGCATCAACACATGATATTAATGATCAAGAATTACTTTTGAATGAAAAAACGAATCGTTCACATAAAAAACAACAAACATTATCAAATGGAAGTGAAGTATCAGATGAATTAGGTACAAGTGGAACATTTCTACCAATAACACGAACACCAAAAGGACCATTTAAAGTAACGACGCCTATTGAAAAACTTGATAAATTAATCTATGATGAACATGAGTCTACGGATAATCACAAGAGAACTGGTACAAGCGAAAGAAAAATAAATATATCACTTAATGATACTACAGATCAACAAGAACAACGATTACAACCACCAATTGCACCATTACAACGTCAAGTACGTTTTGAGTTTATTTTTCTAAGCAAGAAAATTTCTTATTAAAACATTTTTTTGTAGTTAACATCGAGTAGTATTGCATCAGATTTTGTTACACCTGTTCTAACGAATGTTCATCATCATGGATCTGATTCATATAGACAACAAAATCCAAATATTCGTACATCAACATCAATGTATTATTCAGCATATCCTCCACCACGTCATGATGAAACTATTATACCAATTTTATGTACTTCGGAACGCCCACGAACATCAACACCTGTTCAAATGCGTCTACTTGTAAATTCAACACCTTCATCAGTACCAACAACACGTCGAATACATTCCGGTACTGACCTTCGATATATTCGACATCCATATCATCATGTTTATCCTCCTCCTCCACCACCACCATCAACTCCTCCATATTATTCTCCTCAACCACAACAATATCTATTTGTTGATCCATATCGAACAATGCCTTCTCGTATAGGTGGTAATACATGGCATTCAGTTTTATTACAACCAAGAACACCATCACATCGTCAACCATCACCAACATCATCTTCATATCGTCGATTTCATATGGATAATCGTTCATTATCTCAACGTTTATGGGATATCGATAGTGGTGATGATGAAGATGAAGTTGAAGAAGATATAATTAAAATTGCTGGTAGTGAAACACCACCAATAAAAGAACAATTAAATGATTATCATTCAAATAATTTTGAGCATGATGATAATATTTTATTACATATCGATGATGATGGAGACGAAGAAAATGAAGAAGGAGGAGAAGAAGAGTCATATAGAAAACAATATGTACATGTATAAACATTTTATTTTATTGTTTTTTTTTTTTGTTTTTTTGTGATATATTTTTTATTTCAAGCATGAGTAGAAAAATAGCTCAATGTTTATTATTGTCATATTACTTTCTCTTTTCTCTGTCTGTTGTCTTGCTTTTTCTTGAACAGTGCAATGTTTATCTTATTTTGTATTTCAAGTAGTTGATTAATGTTATTCTTTGTTTTGTCGGCTATTTCAAACAGATTAGCATATGAAATCATCACCAAAAAAATATATATATATTATTATTGATCTGTATTTAATGGTCAATATTAAATTGTAACCATTGCAGACTTTAAGGATATATGAGTCTAATAGCTTTTTGTACATATATAGAGTAATCATATAAAATATCGTCTATAAGAAATAGATAGGCGATCTATTTTTGATAATGCATTCATTAATCGATCCTTGTTCTCATTATATCGCAGACAATCCTTCAGAAGGAAAATATACAAATAATGCCACAACTTAAGAATTCGAATAACAATCTGTTCAGATTGGTACATGTGTGACATCTTTATAAAATATTATCTATTTGTGTTTGATAAAATATATTTGCCTCGTATTTAAAATTCAAAATTAATAATGGCTGTATCATGGACAATGATGTTTCGAAAACATCACGGTATTATTATAGAATCTGAAATATGTAAATCGATTTTCAAAGCAATTCATCAACCAAGTCAACAAATTCTTTGCGTGTAATATTAATTAATATTAATTATTTTATTCGTTACATATATATTATTTTCTAGAAAAAGTCTTTCACTACTTAGTTCATCATCAATTAATGAAGCTTATCTACTTCGTAGTATACTTTCTACTGATGATAATTCTAATATTCATCCAAATATTTTATCCCTTTTATCAATTAAATATTTACCAACATTAACAATAAATAATTCAATTTATTTTATTTTTGATTATGCATATAATCGTGATTTAGCAACACATGGTTTATTATATGGTGGTACAGAAAAACAATTAACTAATGAACAAATTCAAACATATTTATATCAATTACTTTCAGCGATTAATTTTTGTCATGATCGATTAGTTTATCATTGTGCTATTGAATTAAAACATTTACTTATAACACGTACAGGACAACTTAAATTATCAAATTTTGAATATGCTAAACATGCTGTATTGCCAACAATGAGAATAAATATAAGTGATGTTTCATGTTTTTCTCAATCTCCACCAGAATTACTTCTTGGTGATCGAACTCTCAATAGTTCATTAGATATGTGGTCAGCTGGATGTGTTTTTGCTCAATTATGTTCATCAACTCAAATTCAACCATTATTTCATGGTAATCATCAAATTGAATTACTTTTTTGTATATTTTCAATGATGGGTTAGTCTATTTTGTTTTCATCATTTTTTTGTAAATCTATGAATTATGTAAAGGTACACCAACGAATGATATTTGGCCATTATTTCATAAACTTTCATATTTCAATGTTGATTTTCCACGATGGCCAAGACGAAATGATCATTTATATGAATTAACAAAATTAATTGGTGCACAAGGTTTAGATTTTCTTAAATGTTTACTTACATACGATCCTAAACAACGTACAACAGCAAGAATAGCTTTACAACATCAATATTTCAAACATTAAAACTACCTTTTTTTTTCTTATTCCCTGTATTATTATAATTATTGATAGAGAATATTGTTTTTAACTTAGTATTTATTACATGTGAATACAAAAAATACTATTGTTTGATTTCCATTGGGATGAGATCATGACAAAAAAAAAAGAAGAAGATACTCAGGTAGTACGAAACAGGAAATTCATGTCGTACTCCTGCGAAAGTAATTCAGGAAGCTTGACAGTAATTAGATTGGTATGTTATAATTTAGAGAATATTTATCCCAGATAATCTTACTGATCTAGATTCATTATTAATGTATCGAAATCGATATTATATGAAAAAAATCTAATCAAATAAATGGTATTGCCTGCCATATATAGTCTAGGTAATGACAATTTTAACATTAAATATTAATCAAAATAAAAAGGTTTGACAAGTATCGAAATGAAATGAATAATTACGTTATACTCATTTTCTTTATTGTATCGTTTATTTAATTTCCATTGAATTATGGTTCCAAAAGATTTGCTTAATAACTGTCACATAAATCATCGAATAATCGTTTTCAATCAATGTAATCATTTTATAGATAGACTTGTTGTTTGTATATCAATATGAATAGTAGTACAAAGACGAATAATATCAATCCATACATAATTAAATTTGTCCGAAATGTACTTGCATTAGTATATATCGAATGATTATTTCTATGAATAACTCTCATTTATCCATGAATGAAATATTTTCTAATAATGCATAAATAATAACCAAAATATAAATTGATTTTATCTTATAATATGATATAGTTCGATTACATAATGGTGTATCACAACAATAAATACATTCAAGTTTTTGTTCAGCATCATCTGTATAAACACAATTGTGTACGGGTGTATTCATCATTGATTGAGTTTTATCTTTCCATGAACATAAACCTTTTGGTACACAATCACGACGTAAATATGTTTCAATTGAACGATAACTAATAACCAATTTTCGACATTCATATTCACCAATATAATTATCATTAGGATTTTTACAATCTTTTATATATGATAAACCCATTGGAGAAGTTGTATTGAAATATCTACATGAATCCATATGATCGGCTATACAAAACATAGAATATATATATTATTATTATTATTATTATAAAATAAAACTAACTATATCCAACCAATGGTTCTATACATGTATAACATGATTGATTGCTAATACAAGATACTATTTTTAATTTAAATAAAAATATAAATAAAATTTTGCTATTAGAAATTTTAGCAAATAATTTTGATCCATATTCTGCCATCATTCATACTACCAAGAAGTAAGAGTCAAGTACTGTTTTTCTTTTCTTGTATCGATAACTTTTTTTTCTCTTATGAGCGTTGTTTTCTGGTCTATTTTCTGAAGTTGTCATTATTGCTTTTTCTTTTTGCTAAGCTATAATTTCTTTCTTTTCTTTCACACGCACTTATGAACAATCACCATTGTTGAAATACTGCACATCAATATGCAATTTTTTTCATTAATAATAATATAATGGATTTCTCGGTAGGAAAAACTACATTCAACAAATTCCTTTTTGCTCATTTATGTTAATAATGAGTTTTTATGCTTTCATGCAAAGGTACGACGAGAAAAAGTGAATAAGAATACAAGAAGATTTTTATTGATAAATATAGAATGATTTCATCAAATTCAAATTATGAGTTCCGATCTATTTTTATTCATAGATATTAATCGACATTTTATCAGTTAGAGATCACAAAATCTAATTTCATAATTCTTTTCTCTAGAGATATTTCTTTTTGCATTCAATTCGGAATGATCATAAATAATCATATTCAAAATCATTATCATGCTCACAATTACAAACTAGTATTTTCATTGTTGATACTATAATATTTTATTTTTTTTTGTATAATTTTGTAAATAAACCTTCAAGAAAATATTCTAATGCAATTTATATTTTCCACTTGTATGATCTCATTTTTGTATATCTAGAAAAATTTGTTTCGATTCTTTCGGATAAAATCGAATTCGCAAAGTCGCTTCTACAGGAAATTCACAATAAAAAAAAACTGTTCGATGGAATTCATTTTGTTACTAACAAATGACATTTTCTTATCGTTTGTATGCAAAATAATAGAAAAACAAATCTTCAGATTTTAATTGATTATCGGCATAGGATAATTTGCTTTCGATTACTGACGACATCTATCGTTCTTTCATATAAAATGGTTATCAGCCTATAACCAACAAGATAATATTCTAGTCTATTTATTCATTCTTACCTAAATCTTTCTTTGTTCGTAATTTCAATTTAACGATTGACTATTTCAAACATGCCTCCTGTTGAATTAACAGCAAATCCTGGTGAAAATACCAGTAATCAACCAACAACTATTACACCTGTTCCAGCGGCTTTTGTTCCTCCATCAGTAAAAGCTAAAATTGGTATTATTTATCCACCGCCAGAAGTTCGAAGTAAGATTTTCTTTATTATACATTAATATAAATATTCATTTTTATTTTGAAATATAGATATTGTTGATAAAACAGCTAGTTTCGTTGCACGTAATGGACCCAGTTTTGAAAGTAAAGTTAAAGAAGCAGAAGCAAATAATTCAAAATTTAATTTTTTAAATCCACATGATCCTTATCATGCATATTATTTACATAAAGTTAAAGAATCTATGGAAGGTAAAGCACCTGCACCAGGTGCACCTGAACAACAACAACAGCAACAAACACTTGCACCTACACCATCCATGCAATCAACTACTAATAAAGTTCACACAAAAGTTCAAAGCGAAATATCAAAATTTTTCGAACCAATTATTATTAAAGATCCACCAAGTGAATATGAATTTATGATTGAACCACCATCAATATCAGCTTATGATTTGTATGTATTCATTTATTGTTTTTTATAAATCATAATTTTTATTGTGTGTATGTGTGTTTTAGGGATGTTGTCAGATTAACAGCTCAATTTGTTGCTCGTAATGGTCGACAATTTTTAACATCATTAATGTCTAAAGAAGCTCGTAATCCTCAATTTGATTTTCTTAAACCAGCACATGGTTTATTTAATTATTTTACAAAATTAGTTGAACAGTATACAAAAATTTTAATACCATCAAGAGAATCTCTAGCAAAATTATCAAATGATATTGAAAATCAACAAAAAATTATGGATGAAGTTAATTATCGTGTAGAATGGGTTAAACATCAATTACGTGAAAGAGCAAAAGAAGAAGAAGCTGTAGAAAAAGAACGAGGTTAGATAATAAAATTCTTATATAAATATTTTTTTTTAATTTTTAATTATATAGCTGCATATTCACAAATTGATTGGCATGATTTCGTAGTGGTAGAAACAGTTGATTATCAACCACAAGAACAAGGCAATTTTCCGGTAAGGAATAAGACATTCTATCTAATATAAAAATAAAATAAATATCAATTTTAGCCTCCAACAACACCTGAAATGGTTGGTGCACGAATGCTTCTTCAAGAACGTCTTGATCGAACTGTAAGTTTTATTTTCATTTTGTCAAAATACTATTCATTTAAACTTTTACTTTAGAATTTTCAACATATTACATCGACAACAATGGTTAGTATGTCTGATCTTGCTGCAGAAATGGATATGGGATCACCACCACATTCACCTCCACCAGCAATGCAATCGAATGTTAATATGCAAGAAATGGATATGGAACAAGATGATGATGATATGAATGCTCCACCACCTCCGCAACCACCTCAACCATCATTACTGCATCGTGGTGGATCTTCTGCACCGATGATGATATCTCGTATTCCATCTAATCAATCTCCAATGCCACCACCCTTCCCTCCTGGTATACCAACAACTGTTTTACCACCAGCTATTCCTACAGATAAATTACCTGCACCATTAAAACCACAAGATGTTATTATTAAATCATATGATCCTAAACGTAAATATATATTATCTTGTTAATTTTTGAATTCTTTTCTTCTTTTTTGTAGAAAAAATGTTAACTATCAATCAAGGTGAACAATATTTAATATCACCAATTACAAAGGAAAAAATTCCAGCAAATAGTATATCATCACATACAAAATATGGTAATAATATTATCTTGTTTTCTATTTGTTCGATCAATTTTTCTTTTCTAGCTTTACTTGATCCATCATGGATTCAACGACGAGAAAAAGAAGTTGCTGAACAACAAGAAAAAGAACAAGTTTATGAACCAGGTATATTATTGATTTATTATTGATAATAAATAAAACAAAATTTCATTTAGGTTCATTTGTTGAACTTGAATTGAAAAAATTTGCTGAACGTCGTACAGATATTTTTGGTATGGGTGTACAAGAAACAACAATTGGTCGAAAGGTAAAAAAACCCAATTATTGATTAAGGATAATGAATTGATTGTTTTAGATTGGTGAAGAAGATCGTCGTGCTGATGATAAAGTTCAATGGGATGGTCATACAGCAACAGGTAAAATTGGTTTGATCGTAATTTGCTTCTAAATTAATAATATTGTTTCTTTTAGCTGAAAAAACATCGAAAAAAGCTATGGCGAATATAACTATCGAAGATCAAATCAATGCTATTCATCGTAGTCAAGGACTTCTTGAAGATGAAGCTTCAGCAGCTAATCGTATTGGTCCATCAATACCCAAACCAGTTACAACATCATCATATCCATCAACAGCTAAAACAATTCAAAAACCACCACAACTTTCACCATTAGTAGCTAAACCAATGGTTCCTATGGGTGGTCAACCTCAACGAACACTTCTTGCTGCTCCAATTCTTTCACGACCTGGTATGCAACCAGTTACTCTTCTTCCTCAAGGAACTCATACAATGGTTGCTATGCCATCAATGGTTGCTGTAGCACCACAACCGCCAATACATCCTCCGCCAACAGCAGATGAACCATCTGCTAAAAGACCAAAAACTGAAGATCAACTTATGCCAGAAGAAGACTTTTATAAAACATTTGGAAAAGTAAGAATTAATTATTTCATTATGAATATCTAAAAATTGAAATAGAAAGGAATCATTAATACTAGAGTGAACGTTGTAATTGAGTATACGATGAGAAAGAAAGTTTTACTTGAATATCATAATACTATTTTTAACATTTTTTCCTTCTTTTAAAGGGTCAAGTTACAATTACAATACAATTACCAATTGTACCTGAAAAACCAGAATGGAATCTCAATGGTCAAGCTATACCATTAACTTTACCGATAACTGATCCTGTAAGTAATATCAAATTTTTTATTCATAATATTTCATATATTTCTATTTTAAAGATAACGGTTATTAAAGCAAAATTAGCAGATTTACTTGGTGGTATGCCTGCAGGAAAACAAAAACTTGTTTATAATGACATGTTTGTTAAAGATTCGAATTCACTTGGTTTTTATAATATGATGAAAGGTTCAGTTGTTTATTTACAATTAAAAGAACGTGGTGGACGAAAAAAATAAACTTATTCATTAAAAATATTTGTTTGTGTGTCTCTATGTGTGTGTGTATCTGTCTCATTATCACTGTTTATTAAAAAGTGTTAAATAAAAATAAACTTCATTTGTCTTGTTCTAGATGTCTGATAAAATAAAAATTAAATTTCAACAAACTATACATGCTTTTGATGTATTAACTTATAATCAAAGATTATTGAGAGATAATAATATTAATGAAAATGGTTAGTTAGATCTGTTCTTATTTTTTTTCTAATAAGATTCAAAAAGATGAAATAGAGTATTTAGATTTGCTTTTTTGGGTAAAACGTTATGTAGATCAAAGAAAAATTGTTGAACAACTTGAAAATCAACTTAAATGTGTTACATCAAAAACAAAATCACAAAGGTAGAATAATTCAAATTTCATCATTTTTATTTTCATTCTATTGTAATTAGTCAACAAATTCATGATCAACGAAAACGTCGTCTTAATTCTTCAAATCGTGCTATGCAATTAGTAAGTACCATACAAGAATATTCATCTTTTATGTATACATTTCAACGAATAGAACATCGACTCTATTTATAATGAAATCAATGATTTCTCCTAGTAATGTAAATAGATTTCGAATTATTTATGCTTCATACTCTGTAGCAGGGTCCGGCGGAGCTGTCCCGAATCCGATCTCTATCCCGTCGGGGGCAGAATCAAAATCCCGATAAAATATTTTGCCGAGACCGGGATCGTGATGAAAAAAACCGATTCCGCTGGATCTTACTATGCAGTAGAGCTATTCTTATATAAACTACTGTCTAGGATAAGGGATGAATTCTCTGACTATCAGTATTTCAGCAGTATTTATTTCTTGTTTTAGCATAAAACAATTGAACAAATTTATGATTTAATAAATTATCATGGTCAACATACATCACCCATTGATCAATTACATTATATAAAAAGATTATGCGAAGATAAATTAAAGTGTGTTTTTTTTATTGATATATATTTTATTGAATACATTAAACATATTTTCCTAGTATAGAAAAGACAAAAGTTTATCATCGGATGAAGATGATGATGAACTTGATAGTCATAATTGTACAATTGATGATGAACAAAATGAAAGTCTTATAATACCTCCACGTGTTGTTCTTCCACAATCATCAACAAAGAAACATTTATTAAATGATGATGATGATGATGAAAAGAATTTACATAAAATTCATTCATCACCTAAACGTTTTCGATATGATAATTCACAAGAATTTCGTACTAAAACAACATTTGAATGTTATAATTCAACTCAACCATTTACTATTTCAACTGATATTCAAATGATTGATCATTCATCATCATCAACTATAAATAGTACAAAAACAGAATCAACATCATCAATTGAACAAACGTTACCGTTAACGACAATAACACCATCAAAAATGCCTGTAATAACACATCGATTTATATCAAAAAAGATTTTTAAACCAGAAACTTGTTTTGTCGTAAGTAAAATAACACATGACTTTCTTTTTCTAATTTCTCTTTATGAAAAAAAACCAATTAGTGTTTCAAACGAATCAATTTTGGTTCTGTATCGTATCGTTGTTCATATTGTTCTCAATCAAGTCATGTTAATTGCAAAGAAAATGCAAATTCTGATTGTAAATATATATTAAATAAAGCAATGTTACCACCTTATTCTCCTAAAACACCTAATATTCCAACATTAAAAACTTCTCATCATCCACGAATGGCTAATTCAGAACCTCGAAAAACAATTATATCATCATCAAATACATTAACTATTCAACGACGTTTACCATTTGAACGTATGATCCTATTAAAATAATTATTAACATTTGTTTTTTTTTATTAAAGTAGTTCTTTAAACACGCACAGTATTTCTTTCTTTTTTGTTTCTTACAATATGTTTATTTTGTTTGTATGTATATATATATATGTATTTGCATGTGCGTTGTACAGATAGATTAAAATAAGTAAACTTTTGTTGTATAATTTGTTTATTTAATATAAATTGTTATATTCATATATGATTGATATATTTCGAAGCTTGTCTAACGAGAAAAACCGAATCTTGGGCGTGGGTGTGAATGTTTCTATCTGTAACTCACACCCACATTACACATTAGGACTAGACGTTTTTGATATGGATGAGAGAGTATCCTTCAAAATGCCTTATTGTTGACGAGAACAAACTATGTATTAGAAAGAGAATATCTTATTCATGGTCTTTTAAGATATGACATTGACAAGATATTCTAGACTTTTGCGATAACGTATTTGAAAAATGCGTGCACATTCGTAGTACATCTCTGAGACATGAGAACATATTGTTTCTCTATTTTCTCTAAGGAATATTTTCAAGCATCTATCAGTGTATTTGAACAATTTCACAATCTCATCGAGAGATATTCGATTGACTATGATATGTGCGTGAATATATATATTTATTTCTAGCTTAAAATCGATAACAAATGAAAAAAAGTTTATTTTCGAATGTTCATGAAAAATCGAACCGTGGAGCTCAGCGAGTTGTGGAAGTCGACATGACACCCAATCCAAAAGACGTCACAGCTGTGCCGAGGAAAGCAAAAATAATGCTGACGATTATCAATCTTGAACTGTAGCCAAGTATTTGATTGAAATATAAGGTGTATGCTGCGATGATTACAATTGTAGTGAGGACAAACAAAGAAAAGAAAATAGATCGAATAACAATGCTTGGAGTTAATTTGCCCAATGCGACTAGAACGGAGAAGGCCGCACAAACTAGAAGTAGAATTATTGCCACAATAGAGAGAATTGCACAAACTGTTCTTTCTTTTCGACATGATTCATCGGTGCACTTTTGCATTTGCCGTCTCTACAAAACTCAAATAGCCCTTCATGGAATGCTGAGTCTTCTGGAATAGATAACCAAGCAGGAGTGGCACGACCTTGATCAATTCATGTATTGCGTTCAATAGTTAAGAAATACGATGGATATTTGTTTTCTTTGAGATGACATCATGGATGAATGAAATCTTAACAATCGTGGTCAGCGCAGCAACGAGAACAAAAGCAGTGGCTATGAATAGTAAACGACCTTCAGGTATCATTGTCAGTTGAGAAATATACGATTTGTTGTACAGAGAAGATTGTCACGTCAAATACGAACTTTGTAAGATAAATGAGTTCTTCTATTAACGGAACACTATTTTATAGCAGACTTGTAGTCATAGAGTAGAAGAAACAATACACACATTACTTTGTGTATTGACAAGATCAAGTGAAAAAACCAAGAAAAGATATGACTTTGTAAATAAAATCTCAAGGTTGTCGCATTTTTCTGATGGCTCTATGAAAATCTCCCTGTTAGATAACAATAAACAAGAAAGAATACCACAATTAATTGTGAAACATACCGACAGACTATGTCTCTTGTCTCTGTATACCCTATTCAACTGTAAGACACACAGTAGCGGAAGAACGATGTATCAGCTTTAATCAAGACAATCAATTAATAGTTGTGATACTTTTGTATTTTATTGTCTATCAGACGTATTTAAATAATTTTTTTTTAATTTTGCGTAATAGTATTTTTATTATCATCTTACAATAGTAACAGAAATGTATTCAACAGAAAACATCTATCAAATGAGAAAGAAAAAAAAGAAAGAGCTACTGTTCTACAATTGAAAGAAAAAAAGAGAAAAAAAATGTGTAGTACTTTTCTATTTGTGTTTTATCGTTAACACTGGGTAAATTGGAACAAAAGAGATTGCACAAAATTCTGAATAATAATAACAATAACAAAAAAAAGGAATGAACTCGGTGGAATGTTTTTGTTTTCATATCTATACAAAAAGAAAGAAAAAGAAACGATCAGAGTAATTAGTATTCGATTAGCAAAAGAAAAATATTTAATCAGATTTGTACATTTCATAGCAAAAAAAAGAAAAGAAAAAGAAAGAACAAAATAGATCAATATGAAAATAATAACTGACTACAAATGTGTTGTCGACTGTAATGATGATGTCGTTGTATCAAGTGATATATACAAAGATTCATATAATTTATCATTTTCAATATTCTCAACAAATAAATCCGCATAATCTGCTCGTTCAAGATCAATTTGTGCACATGGATAACGAAGAACATCTGTAGAATTTGAGCGAATTGGAGCATTCTAAATCGAGATGAAAAATGAAATTTATCTATTCAAAATCAATTTCATACAGTATATTTATCAATAAGTTGACTAAGATTTTCAAATAATTCTTTTTTAGCACCACCTAAAAATCGATAAGCATGTTCTTGTTGAGTAACTTCAATAAGTAAATGACGACAATGATCTGATGCATGATAAGATAAAACATAACCAAACATTTTTTCACTAACACGTATTAAATAAGTACCAATTGGTTGTGAACAAAGAAGTTGTTCAGTATAAGCACGTGAAATAATACCATGAAACCATGGATATATATCTCCATTTAATGAACGAAATGTACCATAAGGTATTTCATTCGTATAAAACCATTGACGAATATCTGCACGAGTTATTACTGATAATGGTTTACTGAAAAGAAAATAACTATCATTATATAACATAAGACTAATATGGAAATCTTATAAACGAAATTACGTAATGAAATAGATTTGAAAGAATATGTTCAATGTTTTATTTCGTGTGAAGAGTGAAGTCTGTGAAATTTTTTTTTTGTTTGAAGACACAATTATTCCACTTTCTCACCGACAATTTGTGACTATTACGAAACATACTATATGTGTATTTAACTGAAATTTCATGTATTCTTTTTGATAAGACTATGCAATTTATAGATGATTTTTCTTACGTTCGTTGTTGGTCATTAGGAACAATTGTTGGTTGTGATTCATGATTATTTTCTAATGTTGTTGATTCATCCGAAGAAAATATTGGAAAAGCTGGTGTTTGACTTTCATCAAATTCGATATCATTTTTTTTCTCATTTGATATTATACGATTTGATGTTTTTAATATAATTGGTTGAAGTGCAAAAGTTATATGTTCGTCAGTATCAAAACATGGATCTAATTGTGATGATGATGATTGACGATGAAAATAATCACGTGCTCGTTGTGCTGCTTCACGTCGATCTTGATCAGCTTTTTTTGCACGTTGTTCAATTTCATGATAAAATATTTCATCAACAAAATCTGATTGAGATATTTGAAGTGGAGATGGTTGAGAATGTTGTTGTTGTTTTTGTAAAATTTCATTTTCTGTAGTCTATAGAAATACAAAGAAATATTCTTTTCTATATGAAAATCTTTTCAAAATACTAATGCAAGTCGTCGTGTATCTGATTCAAGTCGTTCGAAAATACGACGTGCTTCTTGTATATTATTAGAAATTTCTTCGATTTGTTTACGTCTAGAATAAATATGAATTTAGTTATCTACTGATAATAAGCAAATTTTTTTCTTTTTTTGGTCATTTCAAGAATTGCCAAATTAACATTCAACTAGAAAGCTTATTCCACCTTTGGCAAAGCTTATATTTCTGAGAATATATACACTTACATTAGAAAAAATGTCGAATTTTGATAGATTGTCTAAAATATGTTGAATTTTTCATACGAAAATAAAACTTTCATTTTTTTGTTTATAACTATAGATTTTTTTTTTGAAAAAATGGTATAAATCCTTGGCGATATTACTTACTCATCACGATGTACTGTAAAATAAACACCAGTTTTTATTGGACTTTGCGTAGTATTAATATTGGTTCTATAAGGACATTATTTTAAGAATGATAATATAATATACAACTTTACCTTGATTGTTTATACCCATTTTGATAATCGATATTCATATTTTCATTATTAATTCTATAAAAAAAATTATGTGTACTACAGATCCTTACAGCGTATCATTATTATTATTAAACAAAGAGTAAAATTATTCACCTATTATTGAATTGCTTGTCAGTATTTTCTGCAGATTCACCCATGATCCAGCACCATTCATTTCCATCAGCACCAAGTAGAAATGTGACTTTTTTCTTCTTTTTTTTATTTTTTCTATCATTTGTTATTATTGTTTCATTATGTTCTCGTTCATGATATCTTCGTACTTGTTCTTCACGCATTTTACAAAAAAGTAATTGTTTTTGATCTTCTGGCAATTCATCAAGCAAGTCTGGTGGTATATAGAGATCATGTAAAATCTGCGCAAGCATCTCATACTAAATAATCAAATAAAATAGGAAAAGAAAAAAATTTTGTTTGTCATTAAACATCAAGGTTTTTTTCGCCTACATAAATCAAAATAGATACGAAAATGATCACACGGAGAACAGAAACGAATAGGATTGGCTATTTAATCAGCCATGATACTTGCTCTAAAGAACTCATTTCTTTCAAAAATAAAACTTATTGGCTTAATAAGAATAAGAACAGAACGAAAAGAAAAAGAAAAAGAAAAGAAAAAGAAGTAGGAAACCAGTTGTTTTTAGTTACTTAACTTGATTTCATGATAATTGCTAATATCTTGCCTAAAACAAAAAAAAACAAAGTATATTATATTAAAATTAATATGATCTATTTTGTTTTGATGTATAAATAATTATCTAAAAAATATTTAGATTAAAATTAATTTAAAAAACGCCTTTTTAATATTAAAAAAAAACAAAATGCGCGAAAAATTGATTAAATATGAATTTTAGAAAATATATTTTCATTATTATCAGCATGTTAATCTCTATAAATATCAAAACTATTTTATAAATGGCAATAAAATTGTTAGTGTAGTAACTTCGATTGTAATTGAAATAGTTAAACTTTAAATTTATTCTTTATAGATAATTATATTACTATTGTTTTTTTTTGTAGAAATAAACAATGAGCGACGAATCTACGACTGCTGTAGTACCTGATATTTCAAATACTCATAAAAATAGTATAACAAATGAAACCGGTGATTCATCAGAATCGACTGATCAACCACCATTAAAAAAAAGTGCATCCAATGTTCCAATTACACTTAATATTCGTTATAAAACACAAAAATTTTCCATTGAATGTGATTTATATGATACATTGGGACATCTCAAAGATAAAATAGATAAATTAACTGATGTTGAACCTCAAGTTCAAAAATTAGTTAATAAATCAATAACAAGTGTTAAACGAGATGATACAACAACAATATTAAAAGATTTAAATTTAACAGATGGTCAAACTTTATTATTAGTCGGTGCAACTCGTTCAGAAGTTTCAACTACATCGGGAATACAAAGTACTGCAAGTAGTAGTAAAGATTCGACAGATGATTATGCATCGGGAACAACTAAAAAAGAACCTTTATGTAAACAAACTAAACATGAAAAAGTACTTAAAAATGGTACGTCGAAGAGCTAAAAATCTATTTCAATCTTAATATTTTATAAATATAAAATTCTATCTAAATAGGTAAACCTGAGAATGTTCAAGTTGGTATTCGAAATCTAAACGAAGATTTACCATCATCAATTGAGGGTTTATACATGTCAATGTTAAATCAATCAGGTAAAAAAGCACGATTAACATTTAAACTTGAACTTGATGAATTATGGATAAATACAGGTAAAATTTGAAAAAGAATAATATTTAATACAAAATCATTTTATTTATTTTAAGCTGAAACTACAAAAAAAATCCCAATGACACAAATTCGTAATGTAGTTGATGAACCAATTGAAGGTCATGATGGTTACTCAATAGTTGGTTTTCAAACTGGTACAACGTAAGTATTTTTGATTTTTATTAATAATTAATTCAATGGAATCTATTTTATTTTCTAAATAGTGAAAATTCGATTATATGGATTTATTGGTGTCCATCACAATATGTGAAGTCAATTCGTCGACAGATTCTCTCGGATTGAAACAAAAAGAAAAAAACAAATATTTTTTTGTATTAAATATGATTCAGTTTTCATTTTTTCTTCTCTTTTGTTTTATTAAATGTTGACTAAAACGTCTTTAAACAAGATTATGATTAAATAAAGATTTATTTATTTATTTCAAGAAACCAAAAATTCTTATTTCAGAAAATAAATACATTCATATATGATGAACAAACAATCTCAAAAAAACAAATCGCATTTATTATTAAGTGAATCACAAATAAATTCTATAGCTGGTGCTACATCTGGTTTTTTAGTAAGTGTTCTCGTTAGTCCACTTGATGTTCTAAAAACACGTATTCAAGTAAAACGTTTACCAAAAGGTGTGCCGGATACACCATTCTTAGTTGTTATATATAGATTGGCTCAACGAGAAGGTTTTCGTGCATTTTATAAAGGCTTAGGAGTAACAATGTTGGTAAGAGATATCTATATATGAATATAATATCATTTTAAATTCAATTTTAGGGTTATGTACCGAATTGGGCTATATATTTTAGTACATATCAATGGTCTAAAAAACAATATGCTTCTATTTTATCATCGGGGCACTATGAAAATGATGTATTAACAAATTTACTTTCATCAATTACTGCTGGTGCTGTAGCAAATACAGTTATTGCACCAATGTGGACTATTCGTACACGTATGATGACACAATCAAATTATGATGATTATCGTAATGCATTTGATGCAGCACGAAAAATTTATAGAACAGAAGGACTTTATGCTTTATATCGTGGTCTTGTACCATCTATGTTAGGTTTGGTATGTAATAAGCCATTGTTGTGATATATATTTCGAAATCTTCTACAGATGTTTAAAATAGAATTGAAAAAAAGTGGGTTAGATTCTTGACAAATCAGAAGTCAATAGATTTAGAATGAGAAATATTTCTTGTAGTCTACATAATGTTCTTAATCCGTTTGATCTCTTTCGTATCTCAAACATTCTTAATGTTTTCGAACGGTGATATAAGTTTCGTTTTCTCCGTAGATTCATGTTGGTATTCAATTTCCACTTTATGAATATCTTAAGAAAGGATGTCTGGATGGCTCATCGCCTGATCAACGTTTATCAACAGGACATATTATATTTGCATCGAGTGTTTCAAAATTAATTGCTTCTTGTGTTGCATATCCACATGAAATTGTTCGTAGTCGACTTCAAGATGCTGGTCATGCTCAAGCTGTTCAAAAACATGCTTTAACTCCTGCGACACAATTTCGTGAATATAAAAATGTTCGTGATGCTGTACAAACAATTGCGAAAGACGAAGGTTTAAGAGGTTTCTATCGTGGTCTTGTACCAACTCTAATACGAACATTACCAGCAGCGGTATTAACTTTATTAACATATGAAAAAATGAAAGACTTTCTTGGTGATAATTTCGGTGATAATTCAACAAAGTGATAGATTTAATCATCGTCTCACATAGATTATTTGTTTTTATACTAAATATTTGTTTATTTTTTGTTATTGTCAATCGTAGTATAATGTATAATAATAAGTTTTTTTAAAATCAAACAATATAAACAAATTGGTAGTTATCTATTCTTCGATTTATAAAGTATCGGATGTGTGATTTTACGTATCATAAAAATATAGTTTTACTTTACTCTCGAAAATTTATTGCTAAGATAGAAAAAGAACTAATATAAGAAAAAATTAATCGATTACATAAAAATGTACACACTTAACATTAACTGTTTCATTCATATAGAAATAAAAAAGATTCTCATAATTGATAAGGTGGTAATTGTCCATTATTATTTGCCATTAAAGCAGTTAATGTTATAGTTGGATCTAATGTTGGTTGAATATCACTTATACGTTTTGGTTCATTTTCTTCTACATCGACTTTTTCGTCAGGATAAGTATTTTCCTTATTTTCTTCGGGAATACTTATATCTGGTCCAATAATATATGGCATAACATGATTGTATAGTTTTAAAGATGCTATAGGTGCTTGATTATCTATGTGAATTGGCGTTCGATTAACACCATCTTAAGAAATAAAATATGAATGAAAATTTTTTCATATAAATTTCGAATATAATCTTACCACTTGGAGATCGAGGATCAAATAAAAGTCGATTATTCGTTTTTGGTGGTGTACTATAAAGATTTTGTTTAATTTTAAGATTGGAAGTGTTTGCACCCATGTTGAAATGAAAGGAAACAAAGGTTTTCTCGCGCTCAAGCTCTATATATACGTATATCAATGTCGCTACAATCGTAGAGAATAATTTCAGGGAAAAAAATTCGATTAACTTTCTTATGATTAGTCAATTTATTCGACAAATAATGAAACAAGAAAGAAAAGAGAAGGATCCGTTGTTATTATTTGTTTATTTTTCTTCTTTTGTCTTCTATATTATTCCTTCTTTGCATGATTAATCACAAGATGATATTTTCCTTGAATTAAAACTTACTATCGCTTATTATTATATAATTATATTTGTAGATATGACATCTCGGTTTCGCTGTTTTTTTGATATTAAAATTGATGGCAATGAGGGTCTTATATCTATATATACGAAAGAAATTTTATCTTAAATTTTTTTATCTTTTATTTTCTTTAGCTGGCCGTATAGTATTTGAACTTTTTAACGATACATGTCCGCGTACATGCGAAAATTTTCGATGTTTATGCACAGGTAAAATAAGCCTGGTTTTTTTTCTTCCTATTAAAAATTTTGTATATAAATTTTCTAGGAGAAAAAGGTCGTGGTTTAACATTATATAAAAAATTATATTATAAAGGATGTCAATTTCATCGAGTGGTGAAAGATTTTATGATACAAGCGGGAGATTTTACTGAAGGTAATAATAGGCATTTTTCTCATTAGTTCATCTAATGATCAATATTAACGCCTTGGCAAAAATAAAGATAAAATTAAATATACGATTTTTTGTGTCTATCTGGTCTTTAAATTCCAGGCAACGGCACTGGTGGTGAATCGATCTATGGTGGTACATTTGCTGGTAAAGAATTTTTATCTAAATAAAATAAAATATAATTCATAGAATTTTCTTTTTAAGACGAAAATTTTCAGATCAAACATGATCGACCATATCTTCTTTCGATGGCTAATCGAGGTCCAAATACGAATGGATCACAATTTTTCATGTAAGTAAAATAATAAATGTTTATAAAAATTAATAAGAAATTTTTTTTGTATTTTAGTACAACAGCAGACGCATCATATCTTGATGGGTACGATCTTTGATTCACAGATAAATATCTCATTCTGCCTGAGAGATTTGCAAAACAGTTTCAACAGACTTGATAGTTCTTACTTTTTTATGAATGCGAGAAGCTCTTCTAGGTGTATTTGCATTAGTGAATGATTAATGACCAAAACATTGATTTACTACTTTGAGAAAAAACAAATTTCAGTTCGATCGAGTGTATTATGTCAGGGTCACGACAATAACTCTTTTATGACGCACTTGACTCTGTAACAGTAGATCAAAGACTGTATCGAAAGTATTTCATAGTCCAGACGACATCTGTCAGTATTGTAATGATTTACAGTCAATAGAAACAAACTTTCACTTTTTTCACCATGTTGGATAGATTTCTAGAACATGTCTCAAGGATCATTTATTTTATTTAGTAAACATGTGGTTTTCGGTCATGTTGTTGCTGGCCAATCCGTAGTTGATGAAATTGAAAATTTACCTGTTGATTCAAATAATAGTCGACCATTGAAAGATGTTGTTATATCTCATTGCGGTCAATTAGTACTTATTTCAAGTAAAACAAATTTCTTTTTTCTCTTTTTCTTTCGAAATAAAAATAATAATAATAAATAATTATAATTTAGAAAATAATAAACAAAAAAAACGTAAAATTTCTACAGGAGGTGAAAGTGATAATCACGCGGAGAGTGGAAGTGATTCATCGTCGTCAGATGATCAGAAAAAGAAAAAGAAATCGAAACATAAAAAGAAAGAAAAACATCGACGAAAGAAAGAAGATAAGCGTCTAGCAAAACTTGCTGCTGCTGCTGCTGCCGCTGAAGAAGAAAATGAATCTGATCAACAATTAAATAAAACAGATGAAAAATCTAATGAATTATCTGGACGAGATATGATGGGTCTAAAAACAACAATTGATCCTGATGAAATACCTGAAATACCTGCACATAAATTTCTTCTTCGACCTAATGCAAATGATAATAATGAAACAACAAATACTCGGTAAGAAATCTTTTCCTATAGATAATTATGATTCACACTACAATTTTCTTCGTCTTTAGTACAAATAATAATCGTTCATCGAAAAAAATTGATTCAAGTGGTCGCCCAGTTAAAGGCCGTGGCTTTATGGTATTTAAATAATTTTATGAAATTTCTTTTAATCGTTTTGTATTTCTCTATAGAGATATACTGGCAAAAGTCGTTCAAGATCACGTACACCACCACATTGGCGTCATGCTATTGAAGATCGTAACCGTTTTTCTGATAGAAATGAATTTCGTAAACAGGATATAAATGAAAATATTGAAAATGATCATAAACGTAAACGTGTTGATGAAGAAAAACATGATAATAATCGAGAAGATCGATATTCACGTCGAAACGATAGACGAAAAGATGATCATCGTTCAAGTGAATCATCACGACATAAATATCAACGTAAATCAACAAGTCCTGATCAACAACAACAACGATCAAATAATATTAAACAAAAAGAAAATGATACATCGAATATTATTCGAAAAACACCTTCACCATCAAATCGTCATTCTTCACGAAATCGTTCACCATTATCATCATCAACAAATGATCAACATCAAAAGAAAGATTCTCGATCACATCGTCGTCATCATTCTCCATCACCAATTCATGATCAACATTCAACGAAGGAAACTCGATCACGTCAACAACCATCATCTCATAGTAGTTATCATCGTCGTTCAAAAACACCACCACCACCACCCTCTCGTGTTCGTTCACCATCACCAATAATCGAGAAGAAAGATTCTCGATCATTTGTTCGTCGTTCGAAAAGTCCACCACCATCTCGTGTTCGTTCGCCATCACCAGTGATTGAAAAGAAGGATTCTCGATCATTTATTCGTCGTTCAAAATCTCCACCACCACCCTCTCGTGTTCGTTCACCATCACCCATCATCGAGAAGAAAGATTCTCGATCCTTTGTTCGTCGTTCGAAAAGTCCTCCACCTTCTTCATTTCGAATTCGTTCACCATCTCCAAAGATTGATCAACATAAAACAAAAGATTCTTTTCGTTCACGTCATCGTCATTCAAAAACTCCACCATCTTCTTCTACTCGTGCTCGTTCACCATCACCTGTGATTGAACAACGTGAAAACAAGGACTCTCATTCACGTCTTCGCCGGTCAAAAACTCCACCACCTTCAGGGTCTCGTGTTCGGTCACCTTTACCAGTCATTGATAAAAATGAAAATAATATATCTCAATCACATCAGCAAGAAAATACAAATACAGCACCATCTTCATCAACAAAACGACGTAAACGTTGGGAAAACGAAGAAGAATTTAATGAACGTCAAACATTAGCACAAGCAGCGCAACGTACAAGTCTTGAAGATGAATTACGTATGATTGCGCAATCAAGTGCAGAACAACTTGAACCATCAAATCAATTTACTAACATTCCAGCACAATCACAAGGATCAACAACTATTGCTAGTAAATCAAAATGGGATGATGAAGATGATATGTATGTTTGTTTTTTT